GCCACTCAATTACATCRGTACCCAGAGATCTCCATCCATGCTTCATGCATTCATCTTGCTGAGATGCTTATTAATGGGTCATTAGATGTTTATGCAAATTGTATGTTTCCATATTTCACATACATTGCATGTCTATATAAAACTTGGTGTTTTACACGTTAGGCCCTCTTTTCCTTCATGAGGATATCTAAATAAAAAAGAGAACATCCTTTCTTTTATGGTCTCACATTCTAATGGAGAAAAAGGAAACAAATTCTCAAATATGAAAAATATCAGTCAAGCCCTCTGCAGAAAATGAGAAGGGGCTGAAGTGAGAGACAACTGTGGCATCTGGAGTGGACGACGAGGGGGACTACATCTTTGGAAAGTGACTCTCTCGGAGGCTTGGAGTGTCCCAGTGCCGGAGCGGCCTGCAGCCAAGCTGGCTCCTCTGCTGGAACATTCCAATTCAGATGCATCTGCAGTATCTCTCACTTCAGCTAAGTGACTGTGCTTGCTGTCTAGCTCAGACAAGCCGGGCAGGTTCTCACCTCGGAGAGAGAAAGGCAACCCCTGAGGCAGGGAGCCCCTTGCCCACCCCCCTCCAGCTGGGTGGGCACTTCCTGCTCTTCTGCTGGATGGTGCAGAGGGCACCTAGCTTCCAATTCTCCCCCTTTGTGGTGTCATTGTGGAAAAATACTAGCTTTGTCCAAAATGAATGGATTTACCTTGCCAAGGATTATGGCGTCCGCCTGTTACTAATCTCTAAAAGAGAGGCCTGAATTCCTTTCCCCACCCGGTGCTTTAGCCTCTGCTTCTCAATTCACACGTGTCTGTACCTTGTCATTGTCTGGTGTCTTGCCTTTCAGCAGCCTGAGTGTGCGCAGCAGCACTCGGGAGCGCTTCCGAGTAATGCTTCAATTGAAATTGATGAGGAGGAAATGACAGGTCATGACAAGGGAAGCAGAGATATAATTTCTGAATCAGTCACTCTGTCTTGGGTTTTCCTGACTCAGCCAGAAGATGACAGAACAGGAAGTGGCTTCCAAGCCCACAACATCACAATTAGCTCCTACTCTCCTTCCTCCATCACTGCAGGTGCTGAGCTAGCAATGTCTGCAGGACAGAGCACGGTCCAAATCAGAGAATCACCTGGAGCTGCTGGAGGGCCAGGAGCCTCAAAGACCCCACTCCCTTGGTCATCATCTGCAATTCACAAAGGCAGCAGGAGAGGCAGGAGCCCCTCTGCCCCCTCTATCCCCAGTGTCAATGCCATTTCTGGCCCGCCTGAAAGCAGCTTGGGCCAGTCCTCTGCCAGGCGCTGGCATTCCAGGATATGGCTTCTTCTGCCTTTTTCTCAGTCTTCTCCCACTCCTGCTGGGTGATCCGGACCAGGTGAGTGCTCCGAAGGCCTCTGCTTTTCCTGTCCCCATCCCTGGCCTCAGCTGCCACCTTTCCCATTCCATCCCCATGGGAACCCAGGACTGGTCTCCCCGGTCCYGGTAATCTATATTCTTGGCACAGAAGCCAAATGGATGTGTTTGGAATGTCAGCCAGCCCGCCACTGCCGTTCTCAAAAGTCCGCAGTGAGCAAACTGCAGCCAGGAATGTATGAGACAGCAGCACGTTGAACAGCAGATAAATATTTGATGAAACTTCAAGCCAGAGTTTTCACAGATTTAGGAGGGATAATGGTCTCATTGTTTTGTTTCTCTTAAAATCCTTTATCTTTTAGAGATAATGTACTGAAATATTTAGAAACAAAATAATGTGCCTTTTGGAATTGCTTCCAACTAATGCAGTGGTGGGTAGAAGTGAGTGCTGGTGTCAATAGAACATCACCCCTAAGGGTCCTGGGCAGACGGAGGTTCAGTGAACTCCTCTTCCTACTTCTGCCTGTGATTTTTTTCATAACAAAGTATGCTGAGTGTAAGCAATTGACTCGCAATTCCTTCACAGTCTGTACAATGGCCCACGAGGCTTTTTTTCCTCATTTCTTTGACTTCATCTTCCCCTGCCCCAGGCCCTGAGCTCCAGCTACTCCCTCTACCTGGTGTCCCAACCTGGCTGTCATGCCGGCCTGCAGCCTCATCTCCTGAGAGCTGGGTTAAGTGCAGTGTTCTCGACGCGGCCTGCCTGCATCACCTACTTGCATGCGGGATATGATGTCTCTCCTCCACTGCCTGCAGGGCACCACCATCATCAAGGCACGGCCCATCCTCGCTGAACTACCCAGCTGCTTAAGACACGTCTGGTCCCCAGTCAGTGCTGGAGAAGCCTACTGGGGTGCTATTTGCAGGTTGGATGAACTTGGAAGGAAGGACATAGGAGAAGAGAAAGGACAGGGACGGAAAAGGATGAACTAGTAAAGGTGAGAATGGAGAAGAGCCACACCAAAAGGAAAGGAAGAGGGGTCAGCTGAATGCCCCACTCAGGGCTGGCCTGGCACGAAGGAGAAGCTTTGGCCACAGCCCTCTTGCAGCGCTGTGCCCCACACTGCAGATGAAGTACAGCAGAGCTGCGGGGTGAGCAAGTGTGCAGAGCCCCCTCAGGCCCACTTCCTGTGTCCAATTCCACATCCCACTGACTCCTCCACAAGCCCACTGGCTCCTGGAGGCCGCCCCCACCCCTGGTGGTGCCTTCTCCCCCACCACCTGGAACCCAGCCCTGCTACCCCTCTAGGCAGACCTCCCCGGAGCCCAGGCCCCTCACCCCTCTGAAAACCAGAACACCTGTCAGGCCCCCATGCATGGAGAGCAAGCTTCTGAGCCCACCGTGAGGCCTGGCAGGGGAGCCCTTGGGTATTTCAGGAACTCCCAGAGCATGGAGCAGAGAGCAYCTGCAATCACGAGAGCTCGCTGAGCTGGCTGATGTCTCACACATACAAGGAAAGGAAGCAGGAGGAGGCAGGCAGGCTTTAGACACACAGTCCTAGGTGGGAGTCCCTGAGAGGCCACCAAGGAGCTGTGTTCCCTCAGACCTGCCCTGCACCTGCGGAGGCTCTGGTGAGGACCAGCACATAACCAGAACTCAACAAATACCACACCCCACCCGGCTGGCTTTCCTGACTCTCCTCATCCCTCAAATCTCCAGGCCTGGGGCATCTTCCCCATCTCCATGGCCCCTGAGCTGTTAGGCTGGGACCAGGCCAGACACCCACTGCATCTGTGGTTGGTGGCCTTTAGGAGTAAAGCACTCCCAGGTGAGACCCAGCCATTCCTCGGGAGCACACCCAGAAGGTTCCAAGAAATCATGCCCAAGAGAGCGTGAGCCTGACAGCCAGATGCTCCTTCTCCTCTTTCATACAAGAATATTAGGTAAAGACGTAAAGATGTTCATAGACATCTCCAGGTAAACACCTGCCACCTAGTACCATATTAGGAACAGTAACACTGCAACAGGTCAGTACAAATGAGGGCAGGTTCCATGAACACTGATCACGTGGTGTGTAGAGACTGCTTGTTTCCCTTAAGACGAGGATCTAGAGGGAACAAAGGCCTTGACACTGCCACAGTCTGCTGCCCACCAAGGGCCACGCCATCCCGGGCCTCGTGGCAACATGGCCATGGGGTTGCCTTTCCCCTCTAACAAGGAGGCCTCAGGCTTGGAGAGACCTGGTGGTTTGCAGGGGTTGCAAGCTGCAGGAAAGTGAGGCAGAGCTTCACACCCAGGAGGTTCAGGGCCCTCCACCCTCCAGAGGAGCAAGCAACTCACCTCACAGCCTCATTGACTGACAGGAGGTGGCATACCCAAGGTCTGTCGCTTGAGATAACTGACTCTTCTCTTTCACCTAAAGTACCTAAAGTACCTTTGAGACAAGCTCACCTAGATTCCAAAATAAGTTCTCGCTAGAATCTGAAGATCCAAGAGACTTATAGGAGGCAGAATCCTTTGGAAATCAAACAATTAAGTTCACTGGACAGGCTGGAGTCTGTGTTGGGTGAGAAGGGCAGGTTTATCCAATTTCAGGATGGAGGATGTAGAGCTGTGGCCCAGCTCCCTCCTTGTTGGGAGGGAAATGACAATCCACAGCAAACGTGTAACACTATCCACCTGCCTGAGCTGCAGAATCTGCAGGCTAAAAGGGGCTGTAAATGGGACTGGGGTTTCTTCTGCCATATGTCAGGATGTGTACCCACCCATGGATCAGTGGTCACCTGGCCCCTGCAGGAAAACCTCCAAGGCAGTGAGTTCACTATTCTTGGAGCTGCAGGTCCAATCTGCAGGTGCGTGGGATCCACAGACACTTTTCCATGTGAATCAGCAAAAATGGTATGAGCTTAAGGTTAGAGTTTAACAACTGTGCTGCCTCCCTATTCCATATCAGGCACCTACTGGGAACTGCAGACAGAGCTCAGTCTGGGTCCCAGTCTAGTTGGCTGTGGGGTGTCCAGGGGGGCATCTAACCCACAGGTGCTTCTGCAGCCCTCCTTAAGCCTACGACATTGTGTCAGAAGCCAAGCTTACTGGTGAACTAAAACTTGTTAGGTGTGCACAATTTAGATAAGAAGACAAGTGCTAAATTAAATTCAATTTGATTAAATCAAATGCCGAGCCACATGATGTATGATAGTAATGTGAATCTGCTTAATGTAGCTGCACTGAGTTGGCAGATTCTACCTTTTTGCGCCTATTTTCTTTGTGTCTTTTTTCAAAACTTAGCTCAGATATCACCTCCTTCAAACATCCTTGGCCATCCCCAGACTGGGTCAGTTGCCCATCTCTGTGCCCTCTCTACTTTGGGCCTTCCTCTTCCAGGGAACCCTAATCACACAGCACTGCAGTTTCTATATGCTGGACACTCAGCAGAGGGCAAGACCCATCTCCATGTCCCCAAGGACCAACCCAATTCAGAGCGTGTGGTAGATCTCCCAAAGGCCAGTGAGCAGAGCCCAGACCTTCCCTTGGCTTCCAACACTCATCCCAAGCTTCTGGAGTGAATTCATCTCCTCCGTTGGAACTTATGAAATGGGGGGATGGGTTGCAAGGTGGGGCATCAGAAAGGGAAGAAAGGTACTTACTCGGAGACCTTGCAAACCAGGGGGTCCACCCCTGCCTTCTGGACCCATCAGACCCTTCAGGATGGAAAAAAGGGGGAGAGGGAGAATAGTGAATGCAGGGTTCAACAGCAGGGGTCATTCTCTCTCTCTCTCTCTCTCTCTCTCTCTCTCTCTCTCTCTCTCTCTCTCACTGAATACAGAAATATTATCACATCTTGATGGAGTGGGGAGGAGACGACATCCCCTTCATTCCAATCTACTTTCGCTCTTATTTGATCAAATTAAGTATGCTTAATAAGGAAGATGTAGCACCATGGTATACATTTTATGGATGAGCACAGTAAGGTTCAAATGGCTTGCATCACCAATTTCCATAAAGCACACAGAAGAATCTTCTGGAATCCAAGTGTCTAACTCTAATTCCAGTGTCCATGCCCCATGGCTTGCAGTTTTAGAAAGAACTAGCTTGGATTTACTGATTCTCAGGCAACAGTGACATGCAAAGTATAACAGCCCAGACACATGCATAAAATTATCTAGGAAAGGTCAATTTCAGCTGGACAGGGAACCTTGACTGTGGGTGAGGGTAGCACACTGACCTAATTCAGATCCTGACCCCTCACCCTGTTATGTATCTGCTGCATGACCTCAGATAAGACACTGGACATGGTTGGACCTCAGTAATCTCTTCTCTGATATGGAGATAATACAGCCAGCTATTGAGCAGTTGTAAAGATCACAAGAGGAAYGGATTCTAAGGCTGTGCACAGCCTCTGGCAGCACCCTGAATGACAGCATCTGGAGCCAGGTGTGGAGGCTCAGTGGACAACTCAGACCCTGAGCTCCAGTACCGGGTTCACCACCTCTGGGTGGACTTTGGCTGGAAACATTCTTTCTGCATTTCAATTTACTCACCTTAAGCAAATATGGTTATAATACTAACAGTCATTATGGTCAAGTGTTGCATAACTAATTACATGATCAAGCTGTATTTAGGTCCAAGGTCTTTGCATTTAATAGCACCGTGTAAATGGATAAATGAATGGCCAAGCTGTAGGAATTTAATATGTGGATCTCCTTCCTCACAAGAGTTTTGCTGAGCTTGGGGCACACAGTGTGAGGCAACCCTGCAGAAATGAGTTTGCTTTAAGCATCCAGAAACGCCTGACATTGATCTGCCCAGCTGGCCCTTCAATCACTCAGCCTGAGACTGGTCCAGCCATCAGGCCTGTTTCCTCTGGAGAAAGAATGGAAGATGCCAGGATTTGGATGCAGAATGCGGCACCCTGCTCCCATTTAGAGAATAGGGTATATTTTCTTCTTTCTGGGATTGCTGAACACAAATTCAAAATTTTCCATTCTCAACAGAGTCACTGAAGCCAGCTTCTCGGTTCAATTCAATCCAGTGAATATGTAGAAGGCAAGTGCTCTGCAGAAGCCCCCAAGGCAGGGGCTGATGGGATTCCAAAGAAGATAGAAATGACAGCTCATATTAGCACTGGGCTAAGTCTTCATGGAGCAAGGTTTTGCACAATAGTTTATTAACACTCATGGCATGTCTATGTGAGAGATGATGGTGATGATTTCCAAATTAGGGAGGAAACAAGTGGGATCAAACGAGATCAGACCCCGGTACCAAATTCAAAAATCTCCATGGTGGAAGAATAGGGATGTGAAGCCAAGTGCTTTGGCTCCTGATCCCAAGTCATCCCAAAGTCATCCTGCTCTTTACAAGCTCACTCTGCATTCAGGCCCCACTTTAATGCCCCCAAGAATGTTGGGGGGCCATCATTCTACAAACATGTGTTAAGTAATAACTCTGTGGWCTTAGAGATGGAGGGGAGTTGATCCTGGCCGTATGAACCTCAGTCKTAGACCTCTCAATACTGTTCCCTTTAATAAAGGCTTTAGCGAGGTCACTGGCTTCATGAACTCTGTCCATAGGCATTTCAGCACCAATGTTATGATTGTACTAAATCCAACTCTATCGGCAGCACCGGGCCTTAACACATCTGCAGGACCATGGACAGCTCTTGTGGGCAGCAGGATTGGTTGTGCTCTTCTGGAGTTTGAACCTAGGRAGGCTCAAGACCTTCATGGGTCCTGCATAATGAGCTCTCAGTGATGAAAGGGCGTGGGGACCAGTTAGTCAGGCAGATTCCAAGATTCCAAGATCACATTCCAAGATTACTGATTCCAAGTTCTGCTTTGCCTCTCAAAAGCGATATGACTTTGAGCAAGCACCAATGTCTTCATTGGAAAAGGATGGGAGGGCACAGTGCAGCCTTACAGACTGCAGAGGGCTGTCTGTAGGTGAAGGTGCCCCATGCAGTTCTCCCCAGTGGGAATCTGAGCCTGGGGACATCACAGAGACAAGAAGTAGCTTAGTTTGTCCATGATTTTTTTTATATGAAATTCTTCTAATGATACTGGGATGGAAARTCATCTGTTTCTTCTAGTTTTATCCCAGCAAAACCATACACATGTATCTGATGCTGCCTGGGCCTCAATAATTCATTATGAATCTCATCCACCACATAAAAATGAGAGTTGCTTTATCTCCTTCAGAGAGCAACTTAGCAGCAGCAGCAACCCATTGCCAGGAGGGGCAACTGTAAAACTGGGCCCCCCGGTGTTCACTATGTTCTCATTGCCATCCGGAGTGTCTGAACTTACAGCACAAACGATCATGGGCTCCCCTCGAGTGGCCTCTCCCCAAATAGCTATTTACACAGTTATGTTCTTCAYAGAGGGAAATCAAAGGGTGCCGCCTCGTCAGCACCAATCAGAAGCCTGGGGGAGTAAACCTGCGTGAGGAGATGCACTYGAGTGCCTTCTGTTTTATCTGGAGGAAACTAGAACCCTGGCAGCCCCAGTCACAGCCTTGTTTTRGAGTGAGGGCACTGGGGACAGCCTGCTTGGAATTCCGTGGCAGTTCCACGCCTGGCTCCTGCGTGCACTGTAGCCCGAGGTCTCACCTCGCACAGCATTTCCTCCTGGAATGACGAGATCAGCTACACCGTGGTGAGGCACAGGCCTCCGAGACAGCMGTGCTCATAACAGGGGGACTACCATCGCCCAGGCCTCGAGTGCCCAGAGCTCACCCTGGGTTGGAGGGATGGCTTACCGGAGCTCCTGGGGGTCCAGGTGGGCCCTGGTGACCTCTTGGTCCTGGAGCTCCCTAGAAACACAAGTCATGTGTCAGTTCAACTTCCTTCTCCACATGACCAGGGATACCACCCCCCGGGGTCTTTCCCTGACTAGAGTTTATTTCTCGAGCTCCCAACAGGGACCCAGAGGCATGGATGCTGGCATCTGTACTCCAGAAAGCCAACTGGACGTGGGCAGGCTGTGCCTGCGCCCAACTGTAGGGTCGTGGCCTTTCCTACTTCTGCTCCTCCTAAGTCCCCACCACAGGAGGACCCACACCGCTTACCTGCTCTCCCTTCAGGCCTTCTCTCTGCACCTGAGGGACAGACAGGCGTTAGCAAAGGTGCTGGAATTTTCTCAGCAATAGTCAACCTCTCTAAGTTCCATTAAGAGCATGCGCACACACGCGTGCACGCGCGCACACACACACACACACACACACACACACACACACTATAATGAAGTGGCTTCTGCCTTTTCTCTGGCTTTTGGTGTTGAAGATTTTCCACCCAACTGGCAGCATCAGCAGAGTTCTGCCTCGTGCTCAGAGACGAGGACTCTTGCAGGGCCCTGGGTCCATCAGCACCTGAGTGCATGATTCCCACCCACTGCTGGGCACTCACCACAGAGCCRGGCACACCAGGAGGTCCCGCAGGTCCCGCGTCTCCCTGTGTAGAAACAACAAGCGTTTCGACTCAGCGACTTGCTGCCACACCCGCTGCTGCCCCCTCAGGGTCCTTGCTCACTCCTACAAGCCCAGTGGACCTTGTCCATGTTCTATCACACCTAGGGTCACCATGCCTGGGCTTCCTGCCTCCCTACAATATTTTTGAAGCTTCTGTGTCTGATTCTCATCTCTGTGTCTAGGCCACAGGCTTCTAGAGGACAGGAGTCTCATTTTTGTCTTTTGTGCACATTCAGCCCAGTGCCTAGATCTGGCTGGTGTCCCGTGAACACCTCAGGGTTCGTCACAGCTATTTGCTGCTAGAAACTTCCTACTCAGTGAGCACTTGCACACAGCAGGCACTACCGTGAGAGCAGTGACCGTATCTTTTGCCATGTCCTTATGTCAAGTTCACAGTTAGCAAATGGTCAGCATTCAATAAACAGTTATCAGATAAACGAGCAAGAAAATGCTGTGATGACTCTGTCCACTTTCWTTGTCATTGAACAAAAAAGGCTTTCATCATGACTCCTCCTTCTTAATCTTAACCTGATCAGATTCCCCAGGGCATGAGCTAAATCTTGGTTCCACTTGGGGAACATCTGTCAACTATGGCAATACAAAAATCATTATCCCATTACTCCAGTGCCCTATCACTAAAGCAGGGAGGCTGCTCAGAGCTAATGTTCCTGCACATAGCTTAGGAGCATACACTTTTCCTTTTACCCAGAGTCTTGGCAGCTAATTTTAGGATTCAGCATCTCCTATCAAAACACTGCAAGAATGTATTAAAATCTTGATGCTAGAATAACCCAATCATGTCAATTTCAACTCTAGAGACCACAAGAAGGTGAGAGAATAATCAATGCACCTGAATGGAAGCCCAGGTGAGTGAGTTGGGAGTTGCTAGAATTCTCAGCTGAGGCCTCTTTAGCCACTGCTTCCTATTTATTTATTTACTTATGGTGCATACCCTCTCTACTTCTTGAGACCACACTCCAGGAACTGGGCTSCCCCAAGATGATGTTATCTGAGCCCTGCCTGGGTCCCTCTGAGAAGCAAAGCTACTTGACCTCATCTCAGCAGCACTAAACCCTGCTCCCCACAGCCTTCGCCCTGCCTTTCTCTAGCCTGCACTCACACAGGCCTGGGTCTCATCCCGGAGCATGAGCTCCTCCTTCATCCTCCTGTTTACCCAGTGCTCAGGAGAGTCACGTTCACAGCATTTTTATAAGCATGCAAAATCGACAACAAACTTTTACATGCAGGCATTTTACTTGAGATACAGAAATCCTAAGCAGCAAATTTGCTTGGTTAAGCAAAAAGGGATGACATGTGGGATGGGGCTGGGACTCGGTGGTAGAGCACTTGCCTTGCACATGTGAGGCACTGGGTTTGATCCTCAGCACCACACATTAAATAAATAAATAAATAAAAAGACTTTGCTCTCCTCTCCAAAATGCTTAAGAGAGAGAGAGAGAGAGAGAGAGAGAGAGAGAGAGAGAGAGAGAGAGAGAGAGAACCCTTATAATAGGATACAACCTTTATTTTATTTACTAAAGGCCTAGTATATTCTCAAGACTCTTATTCTAATTTTTTAAAAAAATGTGAAATGTTGTAGAGGAGAGAAAAGGACAGAAGGAGAAGAAAGAGGACAAGGAATTTGTAAAGATTACTAGTTGTGTGTATTCACAGCCTATCTTGGTCTAGAAGCATTTTAAGTGGTAAAAGATTTTAATACATCTAAATGTCATGTAATAGGGGGCTTTTTGTTTGTTTGTTTGTTTGTTTGTTTTTTAATGGATATTTATTCCTAAAAGAAGGAAAACTACTTAAATGTGATAGCAGCAGTGTCTTGCTAGCTGAGGTCCTGATGCCCAAACTCCCCCTGCTTCCTCCGGACCCACCTTGTTCACAGGACTCTCCCACCCCATCCCCTCCCCGATCCTGGTTTGATCCAGGGGAAGTTCACACATCTGCTGACTCAGGAGCTGGTGCTACAGCCCCTGGCCTGGCTTACCTTCTCTCCCTGGGGTCCTGCCACACCAGGAGGGCCAGGTCTGCCCTGGGGGAAAGAAAGCAAAGTTGGGTCATGACAGGCACTGGGCTATGCAGGTGGAGGGGGAGAAGGAAAGAGTCGGCAGTTGCCCCTCTGAACCTGTGGCTTGTTTTCCCCCAGAAGCCAGCTCCCCCACAACAGACTTTCTGGACTGGGCTTCCTGCTAGGAAGCTCTTTCTCCAATAACCTACATCTTCATGTCCACCTCTCCCTCTTTCGAACCACTGCAGTGTGGTGCTGCACTCGGCAGGGGACACGGCAGAGGGAACCTGGGAGAGAGGCAGGAGGAGCAAATCACTCCTCTGCCCGGGCCCAGGCATTACAGAGGGCCAAGTCTGATGGAGCTCTCTGGGAATCCTCAGAGGTCTGAGCACTGGCTGAGTYTCCATGCTCAAGTGAAGAGGGAAGGCCAGGACCAGCTAAGGCCACAGGGAAACYGAGGCCCCAGAGGATGAAGGCAGAGCCTGCCTCCTGTCAGTGCCCCAACACAATGTGCCCTGTTGGGAGTGGCCAGAACCAAAGCCAGAGCAAGCAAATCTCCTCGGAGCCTGGCACAGCAGTGCACACCTGAGGCAGGAGGGTCACAAGTTGGAGGCARCCTAGTAAATTTAGTGTGACCCCCYGTCTCAAAWTAAAAAGGGCTGGGAATGTGGCTCAGTGGTTAACACATGCCTGGCATGCATGAGGCCCCGAGMTCAATCCCCAGAGTAGAAAAAATACCCCAGAAAATCCCCATAGAGGGGAGAGGGGAGAGGCCCCAGGAGACCCCCACTGGGAGTCCTCATGTCAGGCTCCTCGGAGAAGCAAGGAGGGATCTGGGGGCAGCTGGACAAGCAGTGTTCACTTACTGAYGGGGATTTCTGTCCTAATGACATGGAGGCACACTCAAGGCTGCACACACAAGCTCTCTCACCTTTAGCAAAAATGAACGGAGCCCACTCACCCACCAGGAGTCCCCCAGGGAATCAGAGAGGAGGTGCCCTCCCTCTGCTCCCCAGCCCACCCTCTACCACAGCCTGTGGTTTCTTTGTGTTTTTAAGGTTCTCCTGGGAAGGGGCCTCCTCTCTCAGCCGTCACCCAGTGGGTGTTCCCAGTGTGTGCTGGCATGGAAGCAGCACACCATGGATATTTTTAATATGCCACTTGGGTGGTACCTTGGGCAAATATTTAAGAAATGGTTCTGTGTTTACCATATAATGTCAATGAAAGGAGAGCAAGATACAAGAAAAATGCGATCTCAATTTGTTAAATGACAAGAAATATAAATCCAGATATTATTTCTGGGTGATGGGATTTAAGTACGCTAAAATTGATATGCTTACTATAATTAATTTATATATTGAGTATAGTTAATTTACATACATTCTGAACTATTTTTTATTTACATAAATATATTAATTGACTAATAAGTATGTTAAATCATACATTCAATATGATAAGCATCTTTCTAATAATCCTCAAAATGAATGTACAATTTTACTTAACTTTTACTTTTAAGAATATTCAAATTTAATTACTTTTGTAATATATTTTACATTCCCCTGCAAAAGTGCATAAAAGTTTTTGGAATATGTCATACATTCACATGCATAAGTGCATAAAATTTTCCTTCCCACCCTATCCTCCTGCCACTGTCCTTTTCCAGGGGCAACCATCTTGTTTATCTTTCCAGAGAGAAGCTGTGTGTTGTAAGTCCTCGATGCACTTTCCCCATTAACCATGTATCTGACAGATTCCCCGGGCCAGCACAGGAGGGTTCTGCACAATTTCCAAGGCTTCATCTCATTCCCCTGTAGCTATGCTTCCTGATTGATTCACCCAGTTCATATTGCYGAGCATTTCTAATCTTGTACTCTATGGACAAGATTGGAGCAGCAACCCCTGGACATGCATGTCACATGGGACATGAGCATGTCATCCACAGTCTTCGCATTCATGGCAACACGTCATGCTACTCAACATACAATTGACTTACAGTAGTCTATTCACTGGGACCCTCCAGCTCTGCAGCAGAGTCAACGAGGGTCACACAACTGGAATTTGGTCACTAAGCCTCCTGCTGTCTTCAGCTGACAGGAAGGAAGCCCAGGGACCAAGGCCCTCTGGAGTTTGATAGCAATCATTTCTGTCCTCTAGCAAAACCCAGCCACCATCCYGAGCACCCACCCACCTGCTCTCCTGTTTCCCCTGGCTTTCCTGGGAATCCATCCAGGCCTCGCTCGCCCTGGAAAAATAAGGACAATTAAAAAATGAATTACAAGCATGTGATCAACAGGCAGCAGCTGAATAGACACCACTCTGGTCACTGTCATGGAAAGTGTCCCAGCATGCTCAGCTCCACCCTCCATCAGGTACTTCTCAGCACAGGAAGGCCAAATGCACATGAGCACACAGATACACACACACACACACACACACATATACACACACACAGCCCTAGAGAGTGTCAAGGAACAGAGGTGAAGGGTCAGAGAAATCAGGCACGTGTCCCTTTCAGTTCCCAAATCTGTGACCCAGGGATGACCATGTAGCTTCTGTGAGCTGCAACCCTCCTTGTCATCTGGGTCTGCCTGGGATACATGTGTGGGATTTGCAATGCAGTTGCAAAAACCACAGGCACATTCCATGCATTATTCCTCCATCCAGTACACCCAGATGAACATCCACCACGTTCCCCTGCTTGGAACTCATCTAAGAACTGACTGCAGCTGGCCGTGCCTCCACCTAGAGCTCCCTTAAAGGCACTAGCTGTGTAACTTGGGAAAGTTGCTTTACCTCTCTGAGACTGTTAGTTCATGATGTTTCATAGGAGTGAGGATAATCCCTTCCTCAAAGACACCTGTGACTAAGACAGGAGATGGCACACCTGAAGCACTTGCTTCYGAGGACAGTCCAGGAGCAGTAACATTTTTCTCCCAGATTTGCACTGGTTTCCTTGAGACAGTGCTCACAGATATTGGCCTGTCCCATTAGTGGACCTAGGTCAGGGCTTCATGTCCTCACCAAGTGTCCTTCCAGCTGGCTATAAGAACTCAGATGATGAAGAAAGGCCGATGTCCCGAGGTGGATCTGTGCCTATGTTGACACTTCACTGAGCCCAGCAGACACGCTCCCCTTCCCTGTGTCCACACTGTGCTAACTCAAGCTCAGCTTCAAGGTCACCTCCTTGACTTTGGCCTTCCCATTCCTCCTGGGGACTGCTGGCTGCCTGGGATATGGTTCTGTCCCTTAATCTGGCGGCGAGGGACAGGAAAGAGCTGCCCAACTCAGCTTCCCAGGGCAACTGCTGACAACTCCCCCAGGACCACCTGCAGCCATGGATTTGACCTTGGGAGATGTCCCAGATCCTCTCTCAGCTCCACAGCTGGACTTCCTCYCACCCTGCATCTGTGACAATGCACTCATGTCCATGTTCTCTTCCCAAAGTCACTCCACATATCTAGTAGGCCGATGTACACATTTCTGTTTTCAAGCTCTATTGTATACATGGTTTTGAAAAACTGGTTCATCGCAGGAGATCTGAGGAGAAGGAGAGGAGAGCTGTCTGTGCTTCCTCTCTGCTGATTCCACATCTGTTATTGCTCCTTCTCTTCTTCCAAACTCTAAAGTTGGCAGGCTGGAGCCCCAGCAACCGATGGGGAAATTTAGGACTCGGGAGAAGAACCCACTTTGTGCAGTTGGCATAAATAGAGTCCGGGCCTCCTGACCCTTAGCCCCTGGTCTATTTCCACTACCCCTGGGCCTAAGCATACAGGGCGCAGCACCCAGTACATGCTCCCAATGCCCACAGTCACCCTTAGTTGTCAGGGCACCTGGTTTTCCAGAAAAAAACTGTGGTTGACAGTGGCCAATTCCCAGGGTCTTTAGTGAGTGGACTCCTCTCTGTCCYCACCAGATGCATCTCACTGTCTGCCAACCAGCAGGACTCAGCAGCCCCTGACGGCCTCTGGGCTTCACTGTCCCTCAACAGCAGGATCTACTCTCACCTACAGAGCCTTCCCCCACCTGTGTCCACACAGACATCCTCTGAAAAGCCCCAGAAGCAGGGCTGCGTCCCTCATCACAGTGAACACCCACACCGACGGACGGGTGGTGACTCCTGGCCCAGGCTGTGCTGGGAYGTGGCCCAGCAGCTAGAAGGGCCTGTCTCAAGGGAAGATTGAAACTTCCTTCTTGCTGATGTCAGAGTCAGAGAGGTTCCTGAGAACACAGACTACTTTAAGTACCCATCAAATGTAAGAACTGGAAAAGGGCCCAGGGCAGCATGGAGCCCTGGCTTCTTGTTTGGCAGATGGAGAAATGGAGGTGCCCAAGTCCACAAGCACATCAGCGAGAGAGGCAGAAATCACACCCAAAGCTGAGCTAGCGGAATGCACAGCTCGCCCTCCCCGCTTCTCTGTCTCTCCTCTCACCCTCTGTACTCGSGGCGCGCTGCCCAGGACCCCGCTAAGCTTGTTAGAGAAGTTAACTCATCTAATCCTGGTGCCGTCTCATGCGGTAGATACTCTGAACTTCTGCATGGAGGAAACTTGAGCCTCGAGGTTAAATGGCTCTCCAAAGGTTATGCTGCCCACAGACAGAGTCCAGAGCCGGGGTCCAAACATCGTCTCCAGAATCACTGCAGGGCTGACCCACACCACGGGGATGCTACACACTGGAGGGACTCAGGCTGTGGGAGGCACTAACTGAACCTTCTCCCCTGGACATGGCTTGGAGGTGCCCTCCACTTCTTGAGCTTCCCCACATTGACTTCAGCAGAAAGGGCTGTGGGCCACCTAGGGAGGGAGTCCAGGGGAACATCCCACCGTGTTCCAGTGCTTCAGGCCTGGACTACCACACAGGGGAAGGAAAGGCTGGGACGAGAGGCTTCTACACCTTGTTCTTCTTCTCACAGAACACATGGCATCAGGAATACCCCACCTCAGCTTCCCCCACTGTACAGTAAGGAGAGTGCGCCAGGTTTCTCCCGTCGTTACAGGTCTGGGATGTCCAGAGGACTGCCGCTTTTGTTGACTAGACAAAGTCTTAATGCAAACAAGATGATGCTAGGAGCTTGCTGGAGAGGCTGCCCAACACCTCAGGAAAGGCTGCTGTCTCCAAATAGTGTTTGGAAGAAACAAAGCTCTGAATCATGTACAGCTGGGTGCCTCTGAAGCAGGTGGGAACGGAAGCAGGTGTTTATGGACCATCCATTACGAGCTGGACACTTCTGTTATCTCATCCGGCCTTCCCACCAGCTACACKGAAGACGGTAATTCTTCCATTCTGTCCATGAGGAACTGAGGCAGCTCAGGGCAGTCCCAGCTCTCAGTGGCAGGCTTCCCCTCACAAGGCCACAGTCACCCCTCGGCTGGCCAGTCTTCATTTCCTGGGAAAGCTGGTCGCACCATCCTCAGAACTGAAGCCATAGCACCCGGGGCACCCTGAGACCACAGTTCAGATGGTGGCTGGGCCCACCTGAGCCCTCATGGGTGCTCTGTCTCTGTGACATGTCCTAGATACCATGACACAGCTTCCTGTCTGCTGCTTCATCCAGACCTGTGGCTTCATCTCAGCCTCCACTCCAAAATAAACCATCTGCACCCACACCACACGTCTCCAAAGTTCACACGACACTGGCGCTCAAGGCCCTCTGCAATCCGAGCTTGATCGTGGCTCCCACAGCATCCCAGCTCATACCCAGTGCCATCCCAGTGTGTTCCCGAGAGGAGAACTGACCAGATGCTTTGCACCAAGTGCTGCCTCAGCCAGTGAGGACCCGAGATGCAGGAGGCAGGAGTGTCCTGCTCAAGAAGCTGAGAACTCCCGTGTGTGTAGGACACAAGCAACCACGGCAGTCGGGTGAAACTGCACAGCTTCTAGAAGCACAGAGGAGGAAGCTCTGGGCAGGCCAGGAGCCCAGGGAGACCTGGGAGGGAGCCATGCGTGGGCCCAGAGTCAGAGGGTCAAGGGGATACTTGAGGCAGCACTGCTGGGGGGTGGTGCATGAATGAAGGAAAGAGTGGATGGATTAACGGATGGATGACTAAATCCAACTTCCCACACATTTCTAGTCAGACTGAAGGCTCCCTAGGCCAAAAGTCAMGCTTAGACGTTTTTGGATCCTTTATGGCACATTAAAAACATAAACACTTCATAGGTAATTCTTAATTTATTTCAGGATCTCCTCAATATTCTCTCAGGAGGCAGAAGACACGGTAGCACCAGCAGGTGCCCCTGTGAGTACCAGCCTCCTGGGCAGATGAGCTGACARATGCCAAGACTCCTCGGGTCTACAAATCAAGAGCAGTGGAGGCCTCGCAGGAGGGCTGTTTTTAAAATTCCCCTTTCACAGTTGTATCAGCGCTGGGTGACTTGAACCCACACCATCTGGAGCCGGGGTGTAGGTTGGAACACTGACCCCAGGTGAAGCACCGAGGGCCCCMTGAACAGGACCTCTGTGGGCCCGGAAGTAACTGCTCCTGCCTGAGGATTCTTGGATGCCCCTCTCTCCAGCTGGCTCAACCCCAGGCCTCTGGTCAGTGGAGAAACCACAACCTTGGCCTCTCAGCTGCTCAGGGTTTCTGGCCTCCCTTTTGAGGCCCCATGYTGGTATTGGACCTGGATCTAAAGGCCAAGGTCCTGGGGGTTCTGGGGGTTTGCATCTCTTCCAAATGTAGCTGCCTCTTGTCTGAGCAAACCTGGCTCCTTCCAGATCACTGTCCTCCACTTGCGTTTCTACACCTTTGATTCACCCTGGCTCTTTTTATCAGGGACCTGGTCTTGAGACAGGATTTCATGGAGTTGTCTACTATTCATTCATAGATTCATCAGACACTGAGGGCCACCTATGTTCCGGGGTCTACTCTTAACACTGTGCACCTGTGGCCCTGCGTTGTGTTGACTTTGTAAGTATCTGTTATTCCCCCTAAGCTCTTGGACCCCTAAGGGCAGCACCTGTGTCTCAGTCCTCTCTGGACGTGGCCTGTACCTGACACTCAGTGGGTGCCAAGACTGAGTGCCCAGGGACCTGTTCATCAATGGCACCACAAACCCCCCGTTTCTTCACTTCAAGGTAACTGAGGAGCAGAGAAGTTATATAACTTGCTAGGTCAGATGCCAGTCCATGGCCAGAACCAGGACCTTCCAAGCCCCAAGCCAGGACTCTGTCTGGAAGCCCTGACCTCTGTCTCTTGGAGAGGATGCTAGGCCTGCAGGGACAAGACACAGCCTTCAGCACAGCTTACCTGGAGGRTGGGACATTGACACTGCACCACACTGGTCCTCACCACACATGCATACCCATATGTGCACACCCATGTCATGTGCCCAAACATACCTGCACACACATACACACGCCAAGCGTGGACAGTCCCAGCACCTCCTCCCGCTGGAGAGTGGAGAGTGCTGCGGGTGATCAGCACAGCCTGCACGTACCTTTTCTCCTCGAGGTCCTCTTTCCCCTCGTTCTCCTTGGAGACCCTGCGGAGGTAAGAGCAGTGACACCACCACAGCCTGCTTCTCTGGGCTAGACCCCTGAGGCCTCTGGAGAACCTCCTGGGAGCCTCCAGCTCCGGGTGCAGGAGAGGGAGGTGGCAAAGACCCTGTGTAGCAGTGTAGTCCTGCTAATGCCACATAGCGGCCTGGGTTCCTCCTTGGGCCGGGGTCACTGATCCAGGCCATTTCCAGGGTGGAGGGGAGCCTGTAGGGCTGTTCTCCTGGTCTCATGGCTATAGACCGGAACCTCTGAGCTCACCTGGCCAAGGGCAGAAATGTGGCTTCAGAGTCAGACCCTTCCACCTGAAGCCTGCAATTCCACTGTGCCATGGATTCCAGAAAGGGGCCCTCTTTGAATTGGAGACTCTGGGGCCTTTTACACACACCCCTCCTCCTGCCCCAGGGAAGAGTTGCTGCACTGGCCCCTCCCGTAGAGCAGCAGCAGGGCCCTGTGCTATGAACTCCTTGTGTGGTTCCTCCCTCTTCTCTCCTTTCTCGAAGAAGGGACCCTTGGGCATTCCATGGGGAGGGTGTTAAACATGGCAGACACATCCCAGAACTTCCCATTGGTTCCAGGAATAATTTGTGCATTTGTACTGAAGAGCAAAGCATCAGAGCCACAAGACACCGTGCTAAAGGGCAGAGGGTCTTCAGGGACACCTGGGTCTGGGGATTAGTGGACATGGATTCTGTTTTAATCCCATCTAAATATTTGGGCTGTGCAGACTGAGATGGGAGGTCCTGAGTGCCCAGGAGGCTGAGCAAGCTGCTTTACCTGAAAGTGACTTTCTACACTGCTGCCAATCTCAACCCTTTTTTAATGAGAATGAAGAAAGGGTCGATGCTCAAGAAGCCACGGGGCCCTTCTATGCCATAGTCACCCACTCTCCACTCCTTTACCCACTGGAGATTCTGCACCTGTGACTGGCACTGGTCTAGGGACCGGAAATCCAATAGACTTCACTACCTTCCAGAGGGGGCAAACTGGACAGGTGGGTRAAAGTGGCTTCTTTCAACCAAGTGTCAGAGACCCCTGGGCTCTATCCTGTTTTTGAACCTTGGAATGGGGGTCTCAGGAATGTGTTTGAACCTATCCCCCAGGTGATTCTTATGTACCACAGCATTTAAGAAATTCTGGTCTAAAAGAAGAGAGACCGATGCTTCTTGGGCATCACTATGTGCCAACAGCAAGTCCTCATCAAGCAGATTCAGTGAGGCTCTGGCCAGAGAGCCGGGCTCCTGATTGATGGGCAAAGAGACAGCATCCCTCCCAGACAGGAGCCTTTACTTACAGGAGCTCCAGCTTGCCCAGGAGGCCCCGGAAGTCCAGGTGGTCCTTGGGGACCCTGCAGAAGAGCATTCACAAAAGTTTTAGAGATAAAAACAACAGATAATAGCTGCTCAGTCAGTGACCGTGTTTCATACAAAGATCCACAGGTTTGCATGCCAAGAGCTGCCTGCACTGCCTGAACCATCTCTCCAGGAGACAGCCCTGGACCTCTGCTTCCTCTCCCCTACTGATGGAGCCATGTTCACACCCAGATCGGCCAGACGTCAAGCAACAGCTCTGGCGTGCCCTCTGAGCCCAGATGCAGCAATTTCCATTTCCACTTGCCCCACATCCCTCTGCCTTCTGAGATCTGGCCTGGACACAATCACGTCTTTTGCAGAAGCACAGCTGATTCCTGTGGCTCTCATTTACATTTGYCCCAGAGTGGGTACACCCTGAAGAGTTCCACAAAGAGCCTGGAGGAAGTCTGCAGAGCCTGGAGGCTCCTCTGCTGCCCACACCATCCACCACTACTGCCTTTGAACAAGTAGATTGGAAATATCTATAAAAATTCACTAAAAAATGTGCATTTCCTTAGCTAACAGTATCCCAACTTTTGTGGTGTCTCCTACTGCAATGAAAATATGTAAGACTTGAGTAGAAACACGCACATGTGCATGCTTGACTGCTTCATCGATTTTAGAGGAAAAGAAATGAAATTATAAGTATATAAAATAGATTCCACTGTCATGTATAACTAAAAAGAACAAAAATAAATAATATAAAATACAATAAAAAAGAAAGAAACCCTCAGAGCTATGAGTAGGGGAAAGGTTATACAAATTACAAAGCCTTCTGTGTCACGGGACACTACAGAGGGGCTGCGGGCTCTCTGGGTGGGTTTGGAAGGAGGTCTCAAATCACTTGTTAAATGAAAAAGGTAAATTGCCAGTTACATGATCCAGTTTTTGAGAATTTAGGAGAGATTATATGTGGCTAGACAAACAAATATTTGTGCTGTGTGAGAATGGGAGGYAGGAAACATTTGAGCATCTCATCTATACTCACAGGGCCTCATTTTGCATCAGGACCTGTCCCCTAGGAGCATAAGGAGAGCACAGCTCACAGCGACACTTACCCGCATGCCCACCTCTCCAGGCAGCCCGGGCTCCCCCAGCTCTCCTGGCTCCCCCTGTGCATACAAATTAGCATATGGTCAGAGCCCTCAGGACACACCAGAGCAGCCAAAGACACATGGAGAACCCATTCCCCAGGACACATAGAGAACCCATCCCCAGGACACAGGGAGAACCCATCCCTGGCAGCTCAGAACTCATCACAAAAGGATGCGGGAGGGTCCCAGGCTGCCCTCTGGTGCTTTTCTATAAGCAAAGGATCTCATCTTCACCACCCATACTATCTCCACTCCCACTTGCTCCTACCAACAGAGGTCCACAAAACAAATTTGAATGGAGAATGGAGGAAGCATAGTAATTGGAGTCCCAGTGACATCCATCTTCATGGAGAAGGAGTGTGGCCACCTGGAGGGGACCAAGAGTCCAGGGACACAAAGAACTCCCCTTTCTCTCCTGGTTTTCCAGGACCTCAGACCTTTTATCCTAATATATTGTCAATTGTGAACTTATGGGATTCTTACAAATCAGGACCTGAGACCTATCATACCCAGATGCAGATGGAGAAGGAAAAGAGATGCAGAGAACCCACAGCCTGTTCCGTTTAGGTTCTTGGTGAAGGTTGGAGCAATGGGAATGGAACTTACTCTCATGCCTTTACTGCCGTCTCTCCCAGGGGGACCTGGAAGGCCCAGGGAACCCTAGAARGAGAGAAAGAGATTAGCAATTGGTACAGGGTGAGGACAGTGTTGGGCTAGGCTCTCAGGGTGCAGGTACACTGAATCAAGTACTGGGAAGGAGGCTGCAGATAGGACTCTGCTCCTTGTAGAGTGGACACCAGCCTGCAGCTTAGGCATCACTTAGGAGAGGAAGAAAAGCAGATTCCCAAGAGTTGCACCAGATCTACCATATCAGGGGCAACCCTTCATAAGATCTCCAGGGCATCTGTATGAACTGACAGCATGAACAAGAAGCTTGGTCTGCAACCCTGTCCTCACAAGAGTCCACAAGAGTGGCCCTCTCACTCTGGGCTAGATGTCACACATGTAGAGGGGAGGCCGGCCTGGGCTGCAGAGGGGCACACACAGCTGAGCAGGCCTTCATGGCAGGGGTGCCTTGGGCCTCATGGGATGCTTAGCAGATCCCTAGATACCAGATGCACCGTCCAGTTGCCACAACCAAATATGTCTCCAGATGTTGCCAAATGCCTCCTAGGAGGCAAGAGCATTCCTGGCTGAAAGGCACTGCGCTAGGACAAATATTTAATGTTTTTTTAACTTATGACAAACTTAACTCTAAGGAATCACACACAGATACACATGACAAGCATAAATAGGAGCAGCTATGGGGTGAGGGGGCACCTGGATTAGGCTCCTCATCCCCCTTCCTCCTGCACACACACACACCTGCCACAGGCCTGGGGAGGAAGTTTAAAAGAGGGGACGCCAGGGTCTCTAAGCGCCCGTCCAGCTCTGACACTACCTGATTCAAATAAAAGGAAGCTGCCTGAGACCTTCTGCCCAACTGCCTTYGCCCCCTCGATCCTCCACGAGACCCTGAGCAGGCTATACCTCCACCTGGGCTCCCTCCATATGCACAAGGAGGGTGATGTATCTGCAGTGATCAGACAGACTGATRAATCCACTCGTGCAGCTACAGAGTCCTGTGTGCAGCAGTGCACTTCTGCAGACATCATCAGACACAGTCCCTGTCATGACCCTCTTAGAAGGCGTTTTTTTCCAAAGACACAATCGGACACTAAAAACTTCTAGCTTTGTCCATAAACTAAATTAAATTCAATTAAGAAGCTTGCACACATATGCACACATATGTATACTTCTAAAACTTCTATGCAGTGCCTCCTGTGGCCTCAACATCCTAATATCAATCAGCATGATATTGCCAAGAAAGACAGGCATTTCTGAGCCTGGCATCAGATTAACCCAAGTCCATCCCCGGCTTCTCCTAACCAATGTGTTTTTTCACATTCTGATAGCGTGCAGCAGGACCTGCACCCACACCACTTCAATGGACACTCCGCAGTCCTGAGCACCAGCCCCACTTCCCTGGCAATTCCAGAGCTACCCTCTAACTGCCTCAGGAGGGCAGAAGCTCTGCACAGGGTCAGGAGACTGGTGGTCAAGAAAAGACAGGCTCAGCCCGTGTGCTCTACCCTCTCTAAGGCCCGCATTCCACTCCTCCTGCACTGAGAGAGCCTGYGGCTTGTGCATTTCCAGAACACCAGCCTCCTTCATGCCATATCCCTGTAACCTTAAGGATGAAATTCAGTCTTTCACAAAAGGGAGACATCACAAAAAACAAGGACTTTCTCTAGGAAAGAGCCCTGGGGGCTGCCTCCCCCAGCATCAGGCCTCACAGTGAATGTGTTCACCCATGGCCTCGGTTACCATTCAGGACGGTGGGTCCGTGAAAGGCCAGTCTGTCCTCTGGCTCCTGCAGGGTGGGAAGTCCTTCAGCTCAAGGCAGGAAAGGGTGTCCTGGAGGGCTCCTGCCTCAGAAATAAAGTTGGGGGCAGGGGCCATCTAATAAAGGGAGTCGGGGTGAGACCAAAGACAATGCCAGAGAGAACTCYGAACTCTGGAAAGTTCTGGAATCTGTGCCTTTCCTCACAGAGGTCGTTTTTCTTGCCTTGCTGTTCTCTTCAAGTGGGTGCCYGGTGCATATCTCTGAATCTGGCCCCCCGACAAGACTGGCACCCGAGAGGGGAAAGCGAAGCCACAGGGCYAGGGCCTGCCTTGGTGCAGGGCCCATGTGCTCTGTGACCTCCATTCCTTCTCCAACCCTGTGTGCTCCTAAGGGAGGGTAACAAAGATGCTCCTGCTTTAAAATTAGTCTTAGACTATGTCACCCCAGAAAACACAGTGAAACATAGGGTATGGGTGAGAAGACAAAGGTCCCCAGGGCCAGCAAACTGCAGCTTCCCATTCTCTCCATCCCTCAGTACCATGACTGTGGCTGGGCTGGTGAAAGGCTGAGTCCCAGGCTCCAGGCAGGCAGGGGACATGCCTACTTCAGGATCCACACGTCCCAAGGACACAGAAGACTTGGCATCTTGTTGTTCTCTTTTGACATAGGAGTGGGCTACCTCTGCTCTGTATTTACAAAGCTGACTGAAAAAGTGTAACAACTCCTTCGAGTTTTGTTTCACTTGGTTAAGATAGCCAAGACAGCCCTGAAAATGGACAGTCAGAAATTTCCACCTTCCTGTCATCAAAGCCCTTTCATTAGATGGGCTTGTGAAATTGTGCCCCCCCCAAAACAGTTAACCTGACCCAGATAGTTCATTTTAGTGTCATCTAATATTAATGCTACAAAATACTGCCATGCCCCTGTGATACACCTTCCAAAATTCCCCACTGGACTCCCTTCTCCTGCCCTCAGTGGCTTTGGAAAGAAAAAGCCAGAGCTGTAGACTGCCCACTCACAGCCCATCAAGAGTGCCACCTGACCTCCCCCMGCCTAAGTTTTGTCATTTGTAAGACAGTTTCATGCTGATTTCAGATAAGAAATAAATGACGGCATACTTTGTAGATTSTAAAATATTATTAAAATGCTAGTTGCTGGCATTCTGTTAAGAACTAAAACACGTGCTGCCCCCAATTCCACGTGGGTGAGCAAGGAGGATGACAGAGACCGGAGGTGGCCCTGTGATGGGCAAGGCCCAAGCAAGTGTAGCTAAGGATCCACAATAATATGCAGGGGAAGGGAGGGGGAGGAGAAAAGGAAGTGAAGGGAGGAGAAAGGGGGCTCCAGGGCACCTTGGCTCAGCAGAACGCTTGCTTCCCGCTGTGGCCTGGAGGTCTATGTCCCCTCAAGTTTCACACGTGAAAACCAAATCCCCTACGCAATAGTATCAGGAACTGGGGACTTTAGGAGGTGGGATTAGTGCCCTTATTAGAGAGGCTCAAGGGAGCCTTTTGRACTTCTGCCTGTGAAGACACAGCAACCAGATGCTATCTGTAAGGCAGAGCAATTCATGATTCTGCTAAGAATTGGCACTTCAGCTAGGATTTCCTGGACTCCAGAACTGTGGGCAATGCATTTCTRTTGCTTATCATTACTCAGTCTAAGGCATTTTGTCATAGCAGCAGTAAGGAGGAAGACACTCCCCTTCCTGTTCTCAGCTCCATCTGCTTTGAACAGAGTGGTTCAAGGAGGAAGAGCCTCCTGGTCAAGGTGGGGAAATGCTTCCTAGAAGGGGGACTGCAAAGTAAGCAATGAGTGCTGTCATTTTGAGTGGACTTTCTGAGCCTCCTTATTGCACCTGTTAAAAGGAAAACAACACTTAGGTCTTGGACAGCWTAGCAATAGACAGTGCCTGTGAAATCCACAGCAGAAGACAACCAGRGCTCGGAGAAGTCGGGCCTTCCCACTGGTGTGCTAGCAGTTGTGACTCAAAATTGGGGCTTGATTCCAAATGCAGCCCTGAACTCTCTACCCCCCACCCCACACATACACACTCMCCATCTCCATGACCCCATCTGGAGATCACATGACGGTAACATGTAGCAGGAAATTACCTGTCCATCCACACCCACTCATCAGCATCCAGATCATATTGCAGGTTCACCCTGTTAACTCATGKGCACGATGCAGAGGTACAAGGGAACACACACCCCTCTTACTCTTGGTTAATTAGCTATCAGGRCATTTCTAAATGTTAACAATGAGCCTACCAGAGGTGCTATGTTAGTCTAGTCTTCACCCATTTGGTAGGAGGCACGGCAGGCCCTTTAGGTGGGGTCTTGGGAATATTCTGGGCAGGGTTCTCAGTGTGTGGTCCCTGGACCAGCAGCATCAGCATYTCCGGRGGCCTCTGCCTTGCTGTAGACCTACTGAGGCAGATATTCTGGGAGTGGGGTCCCACCAGCCAGGTGATTTGAGMACCATCTTGGGTTTGAGAACCACTCCTTAGAACAGACAAATGCAGGTCACAGAATCAGAAAACATGGAATCAAACCCTGCCTCCACCACTTACAGAGGAAGTCACTGGTACCTGGTCTCRGTATAAATGCCATGTGAAATGAGAACATCCTCTTCCTCAAGAGTTAAATCAAACAGCATGCACATGGACCCTGGCAGCCAGCAAGTGCTCGTAAATGCAGGTACTGTCACCGTTCTTAGATGTCCTGTGAATTATCTCGGATGAACTGGAGAAAGGAAAGACCTCTGCAGCTGTCCCCCTGCAGCATAGTTCCTGAGACTCCTGCTGGGCTTCCTGAGCCTCGAGTGCTGCAGCTGTCCTCACCGAGAGGCACAGAGTTCCCMCTCTTTGTCACCTCTGAGGGTAAGATCTGATTAATGCTGAGAGCACAGATGTCACGTGGAGTATGAGGATGGAACATTATGCTGGCATAATGGTAATTAAGCTTAACATTTATGAGCACTTTTTACAAATATAAGTCATTTATGTTCATTAGCTCATTTAGTGTTCACAGCAACCCTCTGCAGAGAGTGCTGTATTTGCCAATTCACAGATGAGGGAGGAAAGTTGGGGTTACAGGGTTACAGGTTAAGTAACAGCCCACGGTCACGCTGCTAAGTGGCTGATCAAGGTCTGGATCCAGCCAGTCTGTGTCTAGGGTCTGCTCCCTCAGCCTCCCTGACCCCCCCAGTCCAGTCCAGTCGCCAGCATTTATTTCCCTTCTCCTCAATGCTCTCACCCTTTTGATCAGTCCTTGATTTTGACACTAGCCCATTAGACCTGGCAAGCAACTGGGTGTCAGATGGCGCTGGAGARAAATGCAGACTTCCCCATCCAGCTCCGCCTGGGGCTGAAAGACACATTAACTCACAACTGCTCCTAGGTGCGTGTCTTCAGCACCATGGACAGGGCTAGGAGCATCATTCTTTCCTCAGTATTTTAACTCCAATCTATAAAACTATCCCCATAGACACATAAACAGCGAAACTAGATTTCTCCTCAGCCTTTTAATTATTGTAAAAATGGAAGGCATTCAACCACAGCTATGCAATGCAACAACCATGGGAGATGTCCACTCACACACACGCGCTAAGGGAAGGAAATGGGGGAGCTGATTATACCAACYGTGAACAAAGAGAAAGGACCCCAAGCTAGAAGTGGATGGCATAAATAAACCTTAGAAGTTTCACACATATAAACACAAATATGTAATTTACATTTTCTGGCTCCAAGGCTCTACAATGCAGTCACAACATGAAATTGATTCCTATGAGGAACAAGTTTTTAGGATCTAGAATTCCCAGATAGTAGTCCTACTTTCAGAGAGGGACAGGGGATGGCACTGGCCAATGTAGTGGTCAAGAGCAAGGATCTTTCTCTCATCTTGTGTCTTGTATCAMACAGGCCCAGTCTCAGCCCCAGACCCTCACCTGCTCTGTGATCTTGGGCATGGTCCAGCCCCGTACAGGGGCTTAGGAAGCTGCCACTCAAAAACCAAATAACCTGGCACAGATTAAGGGATCAATAAAGGGCTGAGGTCATGAGTCTTTTCACTAAGTGGTGGATTCTTTTCAGATGAAGTCCATATACCGTTCCACATGTGTTCACTGGTGTTAGAAAGTGAATTCTGCAGGACGGTTTTCCTAATGCCATTACCCAATGCTTCCGACAGAACCAGCCAATTAACAATGCGTCTGTTGTTCCTTGCTATGCCATGCATTTCACCTGGGCCAGAAACCCTCTGTCTRCCTTAGCTTGGGCTGCTGCAGCAGAACTCCTTAAACCGAGGAGCRTATAAACAACAGAAAAATCTTGCTGTTCGTCCCTGGTCCCTAGTGTTATGTTTKGGATGTGAGGTGTCCCCCCAAGTCTCATGTCTGAGACAATGCAAGAAGTTCAGAGGTGAAGTGACCAGGCTATAAGAGCCTTAATTGATCAGTGAATCAATCCCCTGAAAGGGTTGACTGAGGGGTGAGTGTTGGCAGGTGGGCCGTGGTTGAGGAGGTGGGTCCCTGGGGGTGTCTGGGTTTATATTTGTCCTTGTTGAGCAGAGCTCTTGCTCTGCCTCTGGACCATGTCCTGAAGCTCTTCTCCACCACACTCTTCTCTCGTGATGTCCGGCCTCATCTCAGGCCCCAAGGAATGGAGYCGGCCATCTGTGGACTGAGACCCCTGAAACTGTGAGCACACAGACTTCTCCTCCTCGGAGTGTTCTTGGCAAGCCTTTGGTTGCCGCAACAAAAAAGCTGACCAGCTCTCAAGAGGTAGTCACTATCCTTCTGAATAAGCCAGAACTTATAATGAGCAACCTGTCATCTTCCCCTGCCTCTGTATAATGAAATAAATACCATGAATGTGTTTGTATGGTTTTCTAAGTTTTGATGCCCTTTCCCATGAAGTGGGAATATTTGTGCCTTTTTTTCTGCCATTATTGGGAGAGATGAAGAGGACAATGCCTGAAACCACTTGGCTTGGTGCCTGACCCCTRAGATCACTGAGCAGAAGCCCCCCTGACATTTTAGAGGCAATGGGGGAGGAACCAGAAAAGACCAACCCAGTAGCAGCAGAAGACAAATACTGAGGAAGKTCATTTGGGACCATGTAACATCAGTAGGACAGTCCAGTGTGCACTCCAAACTCACTGGATGCCACCTGCCAAGTAATGCAGAGCAAGGTGACATCRGTGTCATTTTAAAGTCACTGCAAATTCACAGGCACTTGTGTGTTTTCAGCATGGCGGCAGGTTCAAAGCAATGGAAACCATGTGGAGCTGAGAGTTCCAGGCACCCTGCCCCCSAAACGTGACAGCTTCACAGTCCACAGCAAAATGGAGAAGATGTTTTGTCCAGAGGTCTTCAGCTCACCAGAAACTCGGGGAGCAAGCTGCCTCAGMGGGTGGCAGAAAACCTGACTTTCTAACCATCTTCCTTAATGCCATCCCGAAGGCCTTGGGTTTTCTTTCTTCATTTTTGTGACTTGCTCCTGAGTCATTTAGCTTTGTGGTGAACCACCTTACAAAGACTCTCCTACCTGATGATCTCAGAACACTCAGGTGGTTTTACAGCATCCTGACACCATCTTCAGATGTGTGGTCAAAGCCCATAAAGGTACCATCCAAAAAGCTGAAGGAGCCTGTGCTGCTAGTCTGGCTCAGAGACYTCTCTTCTGTTCCTCCTGTTGAAACGGAGCCATAAAATGGCAACTTCCCTGTTCCTAGAAACTGTTCAAGCTACTTTCAGAACACAGGTGTAGAACCCAGGACCTGACCTAAAATGACCTCAAGAACCTGGTGGAACCAAAAGTCACTGAGGAGCAAAAGCTGAGGAACGCCAGCAGGGCCCCGCAGACCTAGACTAGAAGTGAGGCATGGGTCAACAGCTGCAGGACAGGCCTGGGTGACCTGTTCCCCCAGAGCAGCACATTGGGTGTGGACTAGTCCACCAAGACTCCCAGTTGTAACCACCCAGCCCCTATTTCCTCCCACACCAGGCTCCTTAAGTCCCTTCTCTATCTGCCAATGGGGGGAGAGAGCCAAGCTTGCCTCCTCTCTCCCTCCTTGTCGTCTGCCATCAGTGAATAGCTTTCTTTTCGCAAAAGCCCAGTGCACAGTCCCGGCTTCTGTGTATTGGGCAGTGAGCCCTTGCTCAGTATCACTGTTGGGTTTATGGTCCTGGGAAAAATTAAGAAAAACTATCAAAGATGATATATCATATTTCCGTGACCCAAAATTCTGTCTGCTGGTGAGTCAGTGAGCCCAGTAAATTTAGCCGCGTTTCTTATATGCACTGTCTGATTTTATTTTTCTGGCACACGACACTGACACTGAGAGCACCATCCATATGAAGTCTTGTTTACTGCCATATGGATTTCAGTGAGCACGCTGAACAAAGGACATTTTTGGTCGTTGTTGTTATTATTCTTCCCCCTCACCCAGATGCTGAGTGTCTAGTCGCTGACCTAAGGATGACTTCATGGGGCACTTTGCCATCCCTGTGCCTTTCCAGGGTCTCTAAACATGGGCACCAGACATGGCCTTGGTCACGGGATGAGGTGCCAGGAGAGAGGTAGTGTAGGGGTCTGGAAGAGGCAGGAAGTCCAGATCTCCAACTGTTTTTCAGCTGYGTGACTCCCCTTCTCCACCCTCCAATTTGCTCAGCTGAAGGAGGAGGGGTGGCCCAATCAGCTCCCCAGCTTCCCCCTCACTGTAATAATCCATGTTTTCCAGACACTTACTAACTGTGTGACCTTGGGCCGGAGAATTGACCTCAGAGCTATGTTCTCCTCATTGGTGTGAAGTTCAGATTGCACTTAGGAGAATGCCTGGTGCAGACGGGCAATGGATAATTACAACACCAACAAGTTGAAACACAGCCCGAATGAGAACTAGCATCCCTGGACTCACTGGGCTCCCTGTGCAGTCCCCCTGGGATCCAGCAGCTGCTTTGAAGACAGCAGTCAGCAGAGAAGTCAGTTTGCTAAGCACTGTCCCACGGCATAAGTCACGAGACCCCCTGAAGCCCCAGCCAACTCCCTGGCCCACCCTGGCCCACTCATCCCCAGAGGGGAAGCAGAGCCTCTACATTACAGAAAAGAGCCCTGGAGGGCAAAGTTGGGGATGGGCTGATTCCCAGCTCTCAGAGCTGCTGCCTGAAGGGGGCTCTGTGCTTCTTCACATGCCACCCTCTCCCTCTAACAGAGGAGGAAGGAGACACAGAGAGGGAGGTGACTCACTGCAAATCACACACCATGGTGTGGAAGAATCTAGATCAGACTCYGCTAACAAATGCCAACTGCCAGTCAATGTGTCAACTGAGGACAGAGGTGGGAGTGCCAGTCTTCCTGGCTCTCTGCCTCTGCTTGCAGCACCAAGTGACAAAGGAGGCTTCCTGGCTGCAGCTGTGTCCCCACGGCCACAGGACCTAGAATGTATGGCTTCAGGCATGGCCCTGGGCACCAAGAAGGTGCCTCAGGTGTCAGAATAAGAAACTAATAGTAGAACATGTTAGGCCTCCCCCAAATCCTCCAGGCCTCTGCTTGTTCAGGCCTGCTGCCACCACCAGCTCTGTCCTCATGACCTTCCCTACAGATTCCACAGCCGTCCCTGACTGCCCAAATTTCCCAGGTGGGTCTCCCTTCACATCCACCACACCTGCTGTTTGAGCATCCTCTGCATGTCTGACCGTGCATGGACCCTTCAGTGACTCCGTCCCACGACACACACTGTTTGAACATGGTGGTCCTCAAACTGCTTCTCCAGCCCTCTTTGCCATGCTCTTGAAAGTCATCATTATTAAACACTATGAATCACCACATCTGAAGCAAGCATTCTCCTCCACATCTGTTCATGCTCTTCACCCTGCTTGGCTGGGTTGAAGCTCAAGAGCCAACTTCTCCAACAGACTCTTCATGAATCTCCAAGACAGTGAATCCTGCCTCCCACTTCTCCCAGATGCCATTTCCTGTCTCCACCTTCTCTCTTCCTGTGAATACTGCATATGCTTCGACCACTTGAGTGAAGAACATGCACTGACGCTAGACTCAGTGCAGAGCACCTCTTTTCCCCACAAGAATCTTCGTCAGGTAGCAGCATGCCAGCCTACACCTCCCCCCACCCAAGTCCCCACCACCTTCCCTTGGAGGAGTGCCATCAAGGCAAGTGCTTACCTTTTCACCCTTTTCTCCTTGGACAAAGGGTCCCCTGCCCTAGGAAAAGGAAATCAGAAAGCCAAGTTTACTTCCCCAAGGCTTGGTACCACCCTGAGACTGACAAGGCTGGATGCTTTCATCAGCTCTGCAGGGGCCTCTGAAATAGATGAACTATTATGTACTGAATATGGATTCTCCTGAGTGCCATCTCACTTAATTTTCCAGTATTTCAACATCACAGGTACTATTCTTTGCTTCCACGACAGCTTTCATGACACATAATTTGTACACTGTGTAATTCACTCATTTCAAGAGTCCACTTCAAGTTTTAATTTATTTAKGGAGCTGTGAAATGATCACCACAATCAACTTTAGAACATTTCCATCACTTCAAAAGGAACCCTCTCCAGTTAGCAGTTACTCCCCACTCTCCTATCCTCAGTCCCAAGCATGCTCTCATCTATTTTCTCTCTCCATAGATGTGCCTATTCTAGACATTCTGTGTGCATGGAAGCATGCAACAGGAAGCCTTTCCTGACTAGCTTCTTTCATTTGGCAAGGTCTTTTCAAGGGTCAGCCAGGTGGTACCATGTAGCAGACTTCGTCTCCTGCAGACTAACATGATGAGGCATGGATACCCACATCCCATTTATTCGTGGTTCAGGTGATGAGCCATGGGTTGTTTCACCTCTTAGTAATCACAAATAATGTTGCTATAAACATGTGTGTGTGTGTTTCTCTGTGGCCATATGCTTATGTGTCTTTGAAATATATATCAAGGACTGCAGTTGAATTGTTGAGTCAGATGATGCCTTCGTGTTTAAACTGTTGAGAACTGTGAGTCTGCTTCCAAAGCAGCTGCACCATTTCATGCCAGCAAAGTATGAAGCTCCTATTTCCCTGCATTCCTCCTGGCTCTGTCCATTGCTAAAAATGAGAAATGGAAGTGTCCAGCCATTTGTATTGCATCATCCATTTTTCCTGTCAATCTTGTCAGTGGTATTGTGTATTCTGGAGTTCTGCTATTAGGTGCTATGTGTTAATAATTGTTCCTTATTCATTTCTAAAGGCACATCCTTTYATTATTATAAAATATCCCTCTTTATTTTCTACTTTTGTTTGAAAGTCTATTTTGTCCAAAATTGAAATAATTACTCCATTTTTATGTCCTTTTGGTTTCAGAATATTTATTTTCCATCCTTCTACTTTCTACCTATTTGTATCTTTTGGGTTTTSCATTTTGTTAAGCTTTGCAGTTCTGGAAATGGGCCCAAGGCCTTGCCCATGAAAGGCGAGAACTCTATGTGTATCTCTGTGTCCCCTAGGGACAGGATGGTAGCTGGATCCTGTTTCTATATTCTGTCTGAAAATCCCTGCTCTTTGCTTGGCTCATTCACACATAATTCTATTGCTGACATCCAGACCACTCCCTCCTTGTTTTCTARGTCTCTTGCTTCTTTATTTCTCCTCTACTCCTCTCAGAGGCAGTGAAGGCTGTCTAGCTGCATTTTTACTTCCTTCATGATATTTTCACTATGTGGTTTTGGGTGCTCAGGACTCAGATTAAAACAGATGAATTAAAACAGATGAATATGGCAATTGAGTGACTGTCATCAAGGACAGTCACTCAGATGTCAATGATCAGTGCCATTCCCATTAGAGATGCAATAAGACTATCTCAAAWGTTATAAGAACTAACAGAATCACACAAAGCACCTGCAAGGAGTGGATTGGATGGTTACAGTGACATGGGTGGAGGCAGTGGAGATCTGGGTGAGTTCTTCTGTGAAGGGACTTTGCCCTGTCATCTGGGGTTCCCTCCTGATGGTAAGTAGAAGGAACCAACTATGATCCCACACACCCCAAAAGGCAACTGTCATTCACAAACAGCATTTTATAAGCAAAACAGTTGTCTTGCTYCCCGTTTTGCTAATGGGGTAAATGAGACTGTCAGTTAAGACACCTGCCCAAGGTCACAACTGGTGCCAAGGACAAGTTTTGAGGTTCATCTGGCACCAAAGTGTATCACTGATGCTGCCCACTGCTGGGATTGTGGCAGCAATGATGGCCCTTACTAGACTTCCCRCCCTGTTCTAGGTCATTGGTGAGCATTAACTCACTAAATCCTCAAACTGCCSCCGAGCAGGTTGCTTATCATCACCACGTCACAGATAAGAAAACRGATAACAGAGAGGTTAGGTATCTTGGTGGAGCCAGATACTCCCCAGCTCTTGGGCTCCTGAACGGTGTGTGGTTTTCCATGTCTTTCCTGACCCACCACCAGGCGGAAAAGGATGTAGGAGAAAACAGGGTGGGTGGAGGAGAAATTGTTYTTGGCAGAAGAAAGAGCAGGTACAATGGCCAGAGTGAGGGAGGAGCCCATGAAATGGCCARTATGAGCAAACACAACAGTGTGAATTTGGAGGTACAGAATTCTGGGGAAGGGTGAAGGGGCAAGAGACCAGGACAGAAAGCCACTAGGGCCATGTCCAGAATGAGGRGAGATGGGTCTCCTCCAATGGGTGGAATGGGCTTGGTGCCTGGCTCTCACCGGGTCTTCAGCACAGGCTGATTGGCTCCCACACCAGCCACATGGCCCAACTGCACAGAGAAGAAGCATGTGACTTACCATGTCCCCTTTCTCTCCCTTGGGTCCAGAAGCACCCAGTGGCCCAGTGGCTCCTATGTCTCCCTGAGGGGATGAAACCAGAAATAAGCATGGAGTTAGCTGGGGATAGTTCTGCACTCAGGCTGCCCACCACCAACCTGGTCTGAGTCCCTAGGAGCAGCGGATGCCATCTCTGCCAACTSCACGATGAGGCCACAAGTCCTACCCCTGCAGAGGGAGGTGACCTAAGTCACCCAAACATTACTCGCCTGCACCATCTGCGTGCACCACCAAACCTGGGCACTTGAGGACAAGACCCAACCACCCTCTAACCCTGTGTCAATTCAGTGCCTGGCCCTTAGCAGGTGCCCAATTGTGATGTGACAGGTGGACTCAAAACCAGGAGAGGCAGGAGGAGGGGACCCAGAGGGAGAGAAAGAGACAGAAGTGGGTCAGGGGAGATGAATGGAGAGCAGAAGGGGGAGAGAGGAGCCCGGCAGATGGAATCTAGTGGAGAAAGGGAAGGAGCAGAAGTGGGGAACCCAGCTATCCCCAGGTTCTCCACCACCACACCTAGCCCCTTCCCCAGGCAGCACACTGGGTGACACTAYACACTGGCGTGGAACTCTCCCACTCCCTGACCATACCAATTGGCACCTTGAGGACTCAGGTTTCCAAGACAAACAGTGATGGGAGAAGATGGCACCGTGGGGGATGAAAGGGGGGAAGGAGACGGCCCATGACTGAGAATGGGGGCCACAGGGGAACACCTGGCTTTGTATGACTATGGAATTCACCGATTCTGTACACAAGAATTTTATGCAACTGAAATAAATTTTAAAAACCCAATTTCTTAAAAATCTCCGGAGCACATGGGCTTGCAGGGCCTTATGGAGTATTAACTATCCCTGGAGGGTTGGATCTGTGAGAACAGACTTGCTCTTAGCTGGGGTCTCGCCATCTTGCCCTTGCACACTCAAGAACATTCAGTCTAAGGAAAGGAGTCTTCAGCAGTTCAGAGACTCACAGGTCCAAACCTGACACCTCTGGCTCTTACCCCAGCCTTTCAACCAGCAAGAGGGMCAGATGCGAGCAGGACAGACATCTAAAGCCCTCTGTCACCCTGACAGCATGGAGCAAGGGCTACACAGGCCACAAAGGGCATCTCCGCCATGCCAGTACTGACCTTCAGACCAGGGAGTCCCACGGCGCCATCTGCGCCCTTCTCGCCCTAAAGGAAGACAGACAATCAAGTCAGCCTCAGTTTTCATTGTCCCCTTCTCMTATCATGAGCTGGTTTGCCACCCCAGGTACTGAGAAGCCAGCCTTGAAGGAAGCCAAGGACTGACCAGAGGCTGGATAAGAGAACTGGCTGACCAGCCAAGAGCCCGGGTTCTTTGAACTGCAGACCTACCTAGGGAACTCTGAACATGGCCTCCAGAGGCGGGCATCGGAGGGTACAGAGAAACAAGCCAACCCAGGAGCAGAAAGACCAATGCCCAAGCCCTTACTGACACCTAAAATCCCCARATACCAAACACAGAAGCAGAGGGTGGCTTCCAGGCTGGGAGTGGGAGAATGGGGARGCACACATTTGTCACAGGGCACAAAGTTTCAGACAGGAGGAATAAATGCTAAGCACAATTTGTTAATCAGCTTGATTCACTCATTTCACTTTTTTTCTTTTGGTGCCAGCGATTGAAACCAGGGGTGCTCAACCACTGAGCCACATCCCCAGTCCTTTTTTTTTTTTTTTTACTTTTTTATTTTGAGACAGGTTCCCACTCAGTTTCTTAGGGCCTCACCAAGTTGCTGAGGCTGGCCTTGAACTTGCAATCTTCCTGCCTCAGCCTCCTGAGTCATTAGGATTACATGTGTATGCCACTGTGCTTGGATACCCATTCTAAATTGTATACATACATTATAGCATCCATTTGTGCCTCACAAATACATGCAACTGCAATTTTTCTATATCAAATGTAAACAAATATAAACAACATGCTTTCCATGGACTATTTTTTTTGCCCCAAAATATGTCATCAATTCAATTAAAAAGAAAATTATATTGGCTGCTATTGGTCCATGTCATTATTCTTCACTAAAATACAAAGCACAACATATCTATAAGCAATTTCTCAAAGTAAACTGTTCAGTTTTTTAAATGGGAAAAACGATCTTGTTACTGGATTTAAAAATGTGATCTGCAGCTGGTGACTACCTGTAAGTACTCCATACAGGAGACAAATACAACCTGGCTCATATGATTGTTTAGGTGGATCTATCACCCCATTAATGAAGGTGACCCCACACCCATTCCCACACATGCTCCCTCCACTAACAGCCCACGCTCTGGTCACAGCTACACGTGTGACTACTTCAGGAGCACATAGCTTCCAAGTGCATTCACAGAGGACCTCTGTACCTGCAAAGGAAGATTAATAATTTTGTGTGTACTTGACCTTTCAGAGTGTCCCCCACAAGGCCTTGGACACATTTATGCTCACCACAATATKGATCATAGGGATATAAGCAGACCCAGAAGGCACTGCACTGGCCTTGGTGAGTAGTAGACAGGTATGGCCAACCAAATGGAAGATTTAATCCCTTGGAACAAAAGCCAGGCTGTGGCCAGGGCTCTGCCCCAAGGAGAGAACTCTGACCACCTGGGCCCCTGTGCTGTGGTTCTCACAGAAATGCAGATGGAGGCAGAGGCCACACCTGCTTCAAGAGCTGATTATGAGGTTCCTCTACCTGAGCCTTTCCCACCTTCCCACCTACCTGTGTYTGGGAAGCTCTGGAGCAGGCCTGGTGGTAAACTCCCAAGGGTGAGCCAGGTGTCTGAGCTCCTGGTTCCCTAACCAGACTATAGGATTTTCGAGAGCCATATTCTGTCTTAAAAGTCTCCATGTGCAGTAGGATGTCATGCACATAGYAGACACTCATGTCTAAGATCAGAAATAAGAAACGGTGGGCTGAATAAAGAACGGGTCACTGAGTGATGCCATCCAGAATGTATGGCTGATACTGCGTCCGCTGACTAATGAGCTTCAACAGCAGGACCKTGTCCTGCCAAGAGGAAGAGAGGGTGTGCGCCTTTATCCCTCCCTCCCACTGTCCCTCCAGCTATCCACCCATCCACCCTTCCAATGGATGGCCACTTATCCATCCATTCAGATATCACTGAACAGCCTTCTCTAAACCAAGAGAAGCAGTAGTCCCCCAAAATACAGACATGTCATGGTTCAGGGTGTGTCCTCCAGAAGTAGGACTTATGGGAGCTAAGACCAGGGGACAGCATGGTCATGGTTCTGACAGGTGGAAGTCAGGGAGAAGAAAGGGACTTAATGCCTTGGAAACAGCAGGTACTCAGTAAAGACTGCCTGGGTGGATGGTGATAACTGGAGGGAAGGAGGGGGAATCAGCAAGGGTTCCTTGGCCATGTCTTAGGAGATCAGGTGTAGTCAGAGAGAGGACCCAAAGGGTAGAAAAAGAGTTCCAGGTCAGAGCTGCTCCATATGCCAATGCCAGAGGCAGGGAAAACTGCAGCCCCTCCCAGGAACCAGAGCTACTGCCCGACGCCTGGAAGGGGAACATGTGGGATGAGGCTATTTGGCACCTGGGCCCAGCATGGGTCATGCAGGGTGGAAGAGTGGAGGCGTGTCCTGAAACCACACCAAGGAGATCAGGGGAGGGCTAGAGAGTGGGGAGCCACGGGAAAGGGAAGCCAGGACTGCTGGACCCCAGGCTCCCCTCCTGAGGTCCTGCCAGGGCATGGCCTGGCTCCGAGGGGAGCTGTGGCCTGGGCAGAGCTGGTTTGGCTGAGCTCCCAGTCTGTGCATGGTGGCTAGAGATTAAAACCTCTCCAGACCATTGCCCTTCTCACTGGGGGTTACAAAAGGCAATAGGATTCAGAAGGATTGGGGTTCTGTTATTTTGTTGGCCTGCAGAACCAACCCACAGACCTGAGCAGATCTGAGCCGCCTGGCTGCAGGAGGAGCCAGCCCCCTGTGCTGTGTGCACACACCTTGCTCCTTCCTCTGTCTGTTCCACTCTAACCTGGGCATCAGGTTGAGGCTCTTAACTTCATCTGTGACACCCAAAAGGCCCCAGCTTGTGGCACAATGGGATGGCTTTTGGTTAGGCCTTTGGCAAGTTGGGCCAGGGATGGGCAAGCCCATTTGACTTAGAGTTCCTAAGGGCCCTTCCTCCCTAGGGTTTGGCCCCCTGGGGTCTGGATTTCTAGGTAAAGCAAAAATAAAGAGGGAGAATGTGAAAACTAACAGAGGAGAGGAGAGAGGGAAAGGGAGAATATGCCAGGACACCTGGCCAAGAGGACTATTAAAAACACATCTCAAGTGTGCCTGCACCGGCGACCTATAACCACATTTCAGCCTTTGGTCTTAGTACTCCCAGCCCCAAACAGAACCATCGCATCCTTCCTCTACGCTGGCCTGTTCCTGGCAGGTGCAGGTGGAGCTGGGCACAGTTCATGCTGAGGTCAAGGGCCCTGGGGTGGTGGTCTAGCAGACTCCAGAAACATTCCTTGCACAGTTCTACTTTGGTTTATCCTTTGTGAATATGTTTTGGTTCTCTCAGCTCCAACAGTGAGAAACACTTTTCTTATCAAGGGCCACTAGTCTACTGAAAAAGCAGACAAATCAGAGCCTCAGGCACATGAGGAGACATAGCCCAATGGATGGTGGTAGTGATGTTCCTAGAAATGCACTGCTTTTCGAAATTGGAAACAAATACATTTCACTGTTATACACAGAGTCAGATTATAGAGTGTGGCTGATTAAAGGAATTGTTGAGAAGAAATTGCAGAGCATGCCCAAACCCTCACTCATGGTCCTGTTCTGGGTCTTACTCAGCAACATATCTCATTGGACTTAGCTGCACATGAGTGGAGAGGACACAAATCAGAGCCAGAGAAATCCCAGGACACCATTAATAACCTTAGGAAAACATTAATTCGAGCTGGGTCTGAGCATCTCCCCTTCTGGTGAATTCCAAAATTAAAAAAAAAAAAAAAGGAGATCCAACAAACACGAATAGTGTTCTGGCAGAAAGCCATTGTGAGCCTGGGGGCATCCTAACCCAGTGASCAGATGCATGATGGGCAACTCCCACCTCACTGCCCCCGTGGTTCTGAGGACCAGCCCTGTCCCACTCATCTCTGGGGCTGCAGGCTGGGAACCAAGGGTAGACTCCGGATGGATGGTACCTTTTCTCCAGGTGGGCAGGAGCAGTTGATGGTCCTCAAGAACCCAATCTGCTCACTGACAGGGGTGGGTGGTTGCAGGGGTGGAGGCGGAGGCTCTGTCACCACAGTCACCTGGCACTGGAAGGAAAGGCCAGTGGGTCAGAATCTGCTTGCTCATCCCACCACTGCTCCCTGGTGAGGGCCAAGGTCTCTAAAGCTGCCAAGGAGCCAGGGAAGCGAAGGGAACCAGACSACCATGAGCATCCTGAGTGCGTGGTGCAGCAGGAGGCCACGTCTGTCTGACACTGGGTTCCTGGCTCCTGGAGCCAGCCAGGTCCCATCAGTCCAGCCTCAAGCCCTCCTCTGGCCCACTGGGAAACCTGCAGGAACCACTTAACCCTTGAGCTTCAGTGTTCATCTGTGAGATAGGCACAGGGTGTTTTCTTCCCGATACCATCACAGGATTTAATGAGACAAATGGGGAAATGTCTCCTCGGGGTCCTGCACCTGGTAGGGGGTGTCTGAGCCTCACCACCTCCTCCTCTGCCTTCTATCCTCTTGCACACTACCATTTCTCCTCTCCTTCCTTTCTTCCCTCCCCTCTCTTTCCACAACCACGCCCATCACCCGTACACCACAAGGGTGCCGAGACAGGCAGCGACCATGCACTTACTGCGCCCTGGGGACTGCGCCAGTCAAGTGTTGTGCATTGTGTGTGGATTGTACCCTTCAGCACCAGAAAGTGGGCTCCACCCCAAGTCCCATCTGGAGAAAGCCTTGGAACTAGGATTTGGTTGGGGGGGGGGCACGGAAAGGGTGAGGTGGTGAGTTAGGAACTGGAGCAGATCCTGTAGGGAGGGGCCAAAGGGGCCACCTCCGGTCTCTGGGGCCATCTATGTCCTGGCCTCCCTGACCTCCCCAGCTCTGAGCACTGGTGGCACGGAGGATGGGCCACCCCCTGGGACACCTTCCAGACCCTGCCTCCCAAGCTCCCCAAAGCTGGGCTTCACCACTTGATGGGCAGCTTGCCCCCCCCCCCGACTGATGGCCAGACTGCTGCAGCCCCCTAGAGCACCTGTTTCACKCAGCTCCCTGAGCCCCATGCTGTGTGGACAGGAACCCCAACACGAGCACCCAGCTCCCCACAGACCCATCCTGAAGGCCAACGCCCCCGACCCTGGCTTCCCCTTCCTAAGCCCTGGACCCCTCCCTCTGCAGCCCCTGCCCACCGGTCCCGAGGGGATGTCACAGCAAGTCTCCAGCTCCGCGTGTCTCGCATCACAGTAAATCACAATCCGCTGTAAGTCAAACTGGAAAGGAACGGGGAGAGCCAATGAGTTTTAGGGGCCTTGGAACCCAGAAACCTTCATGGCGCCCAACAGGTCCTGCCCAGGCCCCACCTCCTCCTCCGGGGCCCGCCTACCCTGAGTTCCACTGTAGGACTTCAGAGGGAGCCTCAGCATCATCTATGCATCTACCCCCCTTCTGAAGAGAGAGTCCACATGCAAGGGAGGCTGGGGGCTTTCCTTCTTTCTACTCTGCAGGGAATGTGGCCTCTGCCACATGCAGGGCACACCTCCTCCCCTCCCATGTCACCATGACTTCAGGTAAGAAGGCCCCACGATGCAGCTGCACCAGCTCTGAGAGTTCTGCACGCTGCGGTTTCAACCCCTCTGGGCCGCTCCGCTCTGTAGGCTAAGTGAAGCCCTGCACGGGCCCCGGGACTCACGTCAATGGGCACGCTGTCATACAGACGCTTGCCGATCACAGTCTTGCCCTGGATGTCGATGTTCTCTCTCTCCTGGATGGGCAGCGTCTGCACCAGTGCACAGTCGATGTAGAGGGAGACGTTCTGGGCCTGGATGCTCAGGGCCACCTTGTGCCAGTCTCGGTCAAAGAGGTCGCTGACCCGGGGACCTCGGAAGACCACCCTGACTGCATCTGTCATGGCACCGACGGCGCTGTACTCCACAGCCCTGTTCTCACCGTCCAGCCGGATGGAGACCTGGGAAGAGGCACCAGAGACTCCTAGAGCACCTAGTAGGTGCCTTTAGCTTCATGGGGCCATGCAACAGGACCGGCAGAGGCCGGCCCCATCAAGCTGAGTCAGAGCCTCGCTGTGACTCCTATCTGCTCAACTGCTGTCTGACCTCAGGCCAGTCACGTCACCTCTCTGAGCCTCAACTTTCTCCTGGGTGCAAGGGCATCAGGAGCTGCCCTGAGCCCCAGGTCAAGTGGAATAACCACTCATGTCAGTCCAGGGGCCCCAAACTCACCTGCCTGGAGGGGCTATGCAGGTAAGAGAGGCTTTGTGACAGGCAGGACAACTGGTGCTGTGGAAGTGAAGTCACAAGACCACCCAGAAATCCCAGCTAGCTTCAGGGTCTCTTACAACCCTGGGTGGGCTAAACCAGACGTGTTGTGTGGGGTGCTGGGTACCAGACTGGCTGTGTCTGTCAGCCAGTACTGTCTGTCACCCTGAAGATTCGGTAGGAGCTCCAGTGGAGTCAGCCCCTTGGTGGCAGAGGCTCCTCATCTGGGTCATTGCAGAAGCCAGCCTGTGCGCAATGCCTCTGGCCGAGGGCCAGCTTGGAAGAAAGCTCTGCTTGTGTTTGCTCTGTAAGAATGAATGGCTGAACACGTTCCCAGCCGCACGCTCATCTCTTCATCCTCTCTACAGAACTCGCGGAACATCCTCTGTGACAGGCAAGTCCAGCAACAATGGACCAGAGGGAAACTTCACTGGGGCGTGAACGTGGGGGACGTGCAGTGAGAATTCATGGAGTGGACGAGTGGAAGGGCACATGCCCGCTCCTCCTCCGTGGCGTCCGTCTTCCTCTGCCCTGACCCGCCTGCGGGCTCCCTGCACCCAGAGTCTGATCTGCAAGGCTCCACCCCTTCGGCTCCTGAGCCCTTGGCCTGCAGATGAGGTTAGCCCCTCGAAGCCCACTGGAGCGGAGATCAAAGGGCAGCGGGAGAAAGGGGCGGCCATCTGTTGCCCCACCTCCTGGCTTCCCTAGTCCTCCAGAGTGGCCATTCCTCCCTGTGCCATGGCTCCTTGGGGGCCTCCCTGCTCACCATCTCACCAGACACGCATCTTCCCGGGTAGCAGCTTGCCCAGAGTTCCTGCTGAACCCCTTAACACACACCCTGATCCACATTCTCACCTCAAACCTTTCCTGCTCCATCCAAATGTGCATTAGGAATTTGGGTCCCCTAGGCTGTTGGCTGCCTCACTAACCCAAACCAGTAAGTCACTTTAGAGCTGTGTGGCCTGAGGCAAGTTATTTAACCGCTCTGTACTGCTTCCTCATCTATAAGATGGGAACAACATAGTACCTACTTCCTCAACCTGCTGTGAGATTGAAATGAAGAAGCATGATAAGTATGCGTGTCAACAATGAACACGGTACTGCTGTGCCAGCACTGTTCCAAACCTTGGTCAGATAACCTGAGCAAGTGAGTTCCGAGACACCACTGGACCCAACCCTTCCCCAGTGGACACAAAGCAAGTGGACCCTGAGGTCCCCAGGCATGCTGACTTGCTCACATCTGCAAAGCACGCGATGAGATGTCAGCATGTGGAATCTTCCTCATCTCACGTCCACCCGTTGGCTCTCTGCCTTCCTCACTCTTTCTCTCCTCTCCTGTTCATCTCTGCATGGGGGACTCCGTAAAAAATGTAGTGAATGAATGAATGAATGAATGAACAAGTGCACGCAAGTCCCTGAGGTAAAGGAAGACCCCCTCTGCAGGGACCAGCCGCAGCCAGCAGGACACAGCCCAAGCCTTCTGGAGGCTCTTTCTGGGCACAACCTGGCTTCGGTATAGCCCAGGAGGACCATGGATTAACTAACGTCTCACTTGTTTATAATCATGGAGAGGGCAAAACCAGAGCCCCATCTAATACTCTCACACTCCTAATAGGCACACTCGAATGCTCTCCTGACGAAACGTGGTCTTCTCTTTCTTCAGAAAACCTCACAGGCTTCACCTGTGTCCCTGCCACCCTCAGGGCTTCCTGAGGACTTGGTCATCCCGTGGATGTTTCAATCTCCGTCAGCGTACAGAGCAAGGAAAGGCACCCACAGGCTCACGGAAGCCTCGTGTCTACCAGCACTCGCTGGGTGGCTTCGGGAAAGGCACTTCACCTCTCAGACCCATCAGCCAACCCTATTGGTTCCATCTTCAAAGCACGTTCAGAGTTTGGTTATTTCTTCCCATTTCTTGGTCCCTGCCTGGTCTGAGTGAGCATCACCCGCCTGGACTATGACCACAGCCTCCTCACCAACACGTCCGCCCCCAAGCCTGCACCCGCCCAGAGCCCACTCTGCAACACAAAGCCCCACATGCTTCCTCTCCACTCTGCAGCCTCCTCTCCAACATCCCCTGAGACACACGGGCCCTCTGCTCCAGTCACACAGGACTCCTTCCTTTCCCTTTATCATTCTGGAGTGAGTGAGTGCCCCACATGACCAAGAGCAAAACTGCTAGCTTCAAAGGGTGCTTGTAAACACCCAGTGAGGTCCGCAGACCACAGCTCTGTCCGCAGGTCTGATGATCCTGTGCCTTAACCCCACGCTGCATGCAGCTCACCTCCTGGCAGGCCCATTCCCTGTATTTGGCCAGCAATTCCCAAAGGCACAGAGGTGACCGTGTGGGCAAATCCGGCAATGGGCACTAAACCAAGGCTTGCCTAGGGAAAGTGAACCTCCAGGTGTCTCTCCAAACATGAGCCACAAGACTTCCAAGGTAAACTCATCCTCCGCGTGGCTCTACAGTAACACCCCTGCTCTTTCCGGCAGAAGGAGGACAGGATACCGACGGGGCAGACGGGGATCACACGGCTCTGCAAATGCCATGAAAGAAGAGAACCCAGACAGGGGGTGGTGCGGGCTCACCCACAGGAATGTCATGGCAGGCGCCCAGTCCCACCAGCCAGACCTGAGAAACTGGAGAGGCAAATTCACATAACAGGAGACGCAGAAGGACGGGCTTCAGTGAGCTGCCTCCCCTCCACAAAAGTGGCCTCCACAGAAGAGTCTCAAGCCCTCCTTCCACCTTCCACTCTTGGGAAACACTGGGCCTCTCGCAGTTACCCTGAAAATGTGCCTGTCTCAGTTGACCAGGGATGCTGCAGAGGTCACTCGGGGCAGGCTTACGGCCGGGCCAGCTGAGCACATAGTGCAAAGCACAGCACAGGGAGAGCACGGCCTGGGTTCCCATCTCAACTCCTGGGAACCGTTAGGCAAAGTCCTCATCCCCCTGTGGCTCCATCTTCTCCTCTGTGAGAGGCGGACAGGAGAAGCTGCTCAAGGCTGGGATGAGGACTGAATGAGTTGAGATCACCCAGAGCCATCCCTGGCCCCCACCAAGAGCATGCGCATGCTGGTACCCAGAGTGTGCCCTGCCAGATCCGGCTCCAGTCGCAGGACAGGGACCGGCTGCTTTGGAGGAGCCGAGATGATCGCGACTATGTATCTGTCGAATCACTTGAGTGTGTTTTTTGGTTTTTTTTTTTTTATCCCCACACAAAAATTTAGACAGTGTCCTCCAGCTGAAGGTGAGCAGCATGTGCACCAGGCTCCGCTTCCAGGAGAGGACACAGATGTGGCCCGCCTGCAAGCTCTGAGAATGAGAGGGTTTGTAGAGAAGGGAAGGTAGAACTGCTTTCGTCTCAAGCCAACAGACTGTATGATGGCTTTGACTTTGCGATTTGACTTTCCTCACTGAGCTACRTGCCGCTGAAGGGCCATTCTACCCTGGAGACACCAGAGGTGGGCGAAGACAAAGTTCAGAGCTTCGGTCRTAAGAAACCCTAAGAAATCAAAGAAAACCTACTGCATTCATCAGAAGGGACCCGTTCCTGACAAGTTTTTATTCTGTATCAGAACTATTCTGGATAATGTTTGCACATGTCATTTTATGTGACTCTTCTAACAACCATTCGTGGCAGAGAGTCTCTGTTTTCCATTTTCCAGCTGAGAAGCAAGATTCAGAGCAAGTTTGGTCCCAAGGGTCACACTCAGAGAGGAGTGGACACAAGGTCCCACTCAGGTCTATCTGACRCTGGCCCAACTCTTCTGCTGCGTCACAAAGCTGTGCCACTCATGGCACCAACACAGAGCTGTTGGCCACCGCTCTGCCTGGGCAGGGTCCCCGAGGACAGGRGCTAGGTTCTCTTCCCSGATGATCCGGGAAAGCAGGTCAYGKGACTGTTCCCTGAAGGTTCCCTGAGGCTCTGCACACCTGACCCTCTGCCTCTCTAGGTCCAGGACGAAGATCCTGGAGGRAACACGGTGACAGATGCCATCCCCGGGGAGAAGGAAACAGCCAGCGCTGGGACCCTTGAGACGCACAGGCTGCCCRTACCTGCGGGATGCCATACTGGTCGATGACCTGCCAGATGTACCAGTCTTCTTTCCGAGATGTTTTCCTGAGCCGGAAGGTTGTGACGAAGGCATATTCATCGGGAAGACCCTGGGGAAACACGTCCCTGGGGAGAAAGACAACACCAGGCTTAGCAAGGAGAGCAGGGCTGGCAGTGGAAGCCCACACGCCTGTCACCCTGAGTCCTGCCAACCCAACCTCCCAAGTATTTCTACACCCACCTTCTTGGCCTACAAATGCTGCTTCTTCCCGAGGTCAGGAAGAACTTCCATAGACCCTGAGCTGGTGGCCCTGCCTGGCCTTCCCACCCCTGCCCTCGGCACCCTGCAGCACACCCTGCAGTCACTCCGTGGTCGCTGTGACTGACCATCAACAAGGAATGCCAAGTGGCCACTCCCCCAGGACCAAGTGCCCTGGAGACTCCTCACCATCACCTCTCCCTGCCCCACTCCTTCTCAGAAGGCCAAACCACAATGATGTCTTACACTACTTTGTCCCAGGACACCACAGTCACAACATCTGTGTCCCCCAAAAATTCACATATTGACACACTAACCCCAAGATGGGGCTTTGAGGAGGTGAAGGGATCCTGAGGGTGGAACCCTCATGGGGAGATGGGGACCTGTGAAAGGTCCCATGGAGCTTGTTCACTCCTTGCCTCCTGTGGGGTGACAGTGAGAAGACCACCATCTGTGGGGATCCGTCTTACACTCCCTGGCCTCCGGATCTGGGAGAAAGGCATTTTTGTTGTTTCTGAACCACCTGGGAAATGGCACTTAGACTGAGGCACAAGACACCCTCTGCTCTCCCTCAGGCCCTGGCTCAGCCCCGCCCACTGTGGGTTACCCTATCACCTGGAGGCGTCCACAATTCCCTGCTCCACCCTAGCCAGTCCCAAACTGCCTCTCGTCTTCCAAATTCAGCAATGAAAATTGATCATTTGCTCCTTCGAGCACCCAGTCATTCAGCAAGATCCGAGCCCCCAACTCTCTGTGCTCCCGGGCATCCTCAGCCCACTGTCCTCCATCTCCACCCATCCCACACACCGAGGCTCCTGAGCAAAYTCCCGGCCTCTCGGGGCAGCTCCTCAGCCCTAACCCTCTGGGATAGCCAAGGACTGGGCATCCCTGCTGGTAGCTGGTGATCTCCTCCACCACAGGGTTCTGGGAAAAGTTATCCACACATCACTCTCTCTCCATTTGCCCAACTCATGGCCACCTGCCCTCTTTCCCTCCTTCTCCCCACATTTTCCTCAAGAGGTCCCCAGTGAGGAAATACTGACAAGTCACTGTCCCTTGGCACCTACCACAGAGCACAGAGTGTGTAGGCATGCAATATTGAACGCCGTCAATATTCTGGTTCCGTAGAGAAATCCGCTCCCCGTCCATGATGCAGGGCCTGTTTAATTTCCCCAGAGGAAGGCCCCAGCAGCCCTGGCCACCTAGCAACACCACTGGACCCACTCATTAGATGACCAGAGCATTTCTTCTACCCGAGGTGTGACACACACACACACACACACACACACACACACACACACACACACCCTCCAGCTCCTCCAAATGTTGCAGGGGGAAAGTTCCCCAGGTGGAGACCACAGATCTCTCCTGGACACAAATCCTCTCAAAATGAAGTTTAGCTGGCTTTTCTGTAGTGTTTTTTTAGATTCCATAAATTACTCACAGATGATCTCTTTGATATAAGAKTCTAAGATTTAATTTAAAAATAAGTATTGGTTGAGGGCTTGATGCAGGCCCAACTGATCTGGGATGCACAGGTCACCTCTCCTGTGAAGAATTTGATGCTCACGCTACAGGTGAGGGCACAGCAG